GATGGGCCCTGCTCTGTGCGTGACGGGGTGGTGCCGCAACCTTCCCATCGACCCTGCCTTGAGTGTGACGGGACGGTGCCCCAACCCCCCAATCGGCTCTACCCTGAGGGTGGCATCGCAACCTCCCAATCCGCCCTGCTCTGTGCATGACAAGGGGCGGCGCCTCAACTCCCCAATCGGCCCTGCTCTGAGCCCAACCAGGGGCTGCGCCTAGGGATTAGGCCTGCCCTCTGCCACCAGGGAGCAGGCCTAAGCCAGCAGGTCATTATCTCCTGAGGGGTCCCAGACTGCGAGAGGGCACAGGTCGGGCTAGGGACCCCCCCCTTCCCCCGAGTGCACAAATTTTTGTGCACCGGGCCTCTAGTTTGATATAAAAGGAGATGTAGGAGGGGAGCAGGGGAGAAAATAAAAAAGAAATGTTTACCCTCAATCATCACTCTGCATCAAAGTCTACACTAAGTAATACAGAAAATGACATCCTAGTAAACAAGAAGCATGTGAGAAAATAGCCTTCACTGTAAAACTGGCTTCTAGTTCCTCTTAATTGAATCCTCAAGGTACATGACATTAAAAATTGTTCCCTTATCTGGCCACATTCTTTATGGACAGTGAAGTAGGCGGGGAAATACTGGCTGGGTGAGACAGCCACTCCTTTCCACGCCTTTGCTCCTGAGCAGGAGCAGTGCAGGGACACGCCCCTCAGCACACACACAAGCCTGGGAGCTTGGGGCCCCACAGTGAAGGGAGAAATGGTGTAGGACAGGGAGCCTGGGGGCCCCACACAGAAGGGAGAAATGATGGTGGTACAGCTGGCAGAAAAAAATCATGACTAATCAGATTTAGTTCTAAAACAAAATTGAGACAAAACTCTCTATTAAGTTTAAAGCTTTTGAGAGCAGCCCACAGATGGCTTTTCTTGCTCCTTGGGAACCAGTTTTTTCTTTCTATTAGCATACCCTATATAATAAAAGAGAAACATGTAAATTGACCATCCCTCTGCTACACTCACCAGCCAATCAGGAGTATGCAAATTAACCCAACAAAGATGGTGGGTTAATTTGCATACACAGACACCGGGCGGAGAGCAGAGCGGGAGAGGCCGGCAGAGAGTGGAGTGGCTTGGGGAACTTGGCTCCTCAAGCTGCCAGACAGAGAGCAGAGAGGGAGAGCTGGCGGCTTGGAGGACTTGGCCGAGTGGGAGGCCATGGGATGGAGACAGAGCAGGAAGGGAAAACCAAGAGCACAGGGAGCACCAGGAATTCTTGGAATAGTAGTTCTGGTGGCAGCCCCAGGACTGGAAGTGGAAGCCCAGAGCGTGGGGAGCACCAGGAATTATAGTTCTGGTGGCAGATGGATCTCATAGACCAGCAGTTCTCAACCTGTGAGTTACAACCCCTTTGGGAGTCAAACGACCCTTTCACAGGGGTTGCCTAAGACCATTGGAAAACACATATATAATTACATATTGTTTTTGTGATTAATTACTATGCTTTAATTATGTTCAATTGTAACAATGAAAATACATCCTGCATATCAGATATTTACATTACGATTCATAACAGTAGCAAAATTACAGTTATGAAGTAGCAATGAAGATAATTTTATGGTTGGGGGTCACCATAACATGAGGAACTGTATTAAAGGGTCACGGCATTAGGAAGGTTGAGAACCACTATGGTGGTTCTCAGAAGAGCTATAAGTAAAATCAGTGTCTAGCAAACATTAAAGGGAAGATATCCTAAAACTTCCAGGAAACCTCCACCAATGAAGCAAAGAAAAAAAAAAGCCTCTATTATTCTGTGAGCTACAAACCAAACTGAGTTGGGGTCTCAGACAATTCACTCACATGATTGCAAAGACAGACAGAAACTCCCGGATTAGAGAGGGCTCTCCTGAGGGCTCCCAGATTGGAGAGGGTGGCAGGTCGGGCTGAGGAATCCCCACACCCTCCAGTGCATGAATGTCATGCACCGGGCCTCTAGTTATTTCATAAAAGGACCCGTAACAGACGTTAATAATTTAAGCTGCACTGTAAATGTGGAATTTGTGAATGAAATAATAACCAAGCCCAGCCCACCCGACAGACTGCAGAAGTCCTATATTCCAAAACACTGATCCCAGACACAAGCTGAGGAAGCAAATGCTGTGAGGGACACAGCCCACAAGCTGGACAGGAGGCTGCCTCAGAGCCACAAGGCAGTTCAGTACCACTGCGCAGCCAGGTCATTCGTGCAGGACTTTGCATGTACAGGGCAGAGGACAGAGAAGGGTTGTTTCTACCATTCTGATTTTAGACTCTGTATTTAATAATCACCGTGATTGATTAGTAAGTTATCACTTAATATGAGTGCTTGTGTATACAATCAAAACTTTGAAATGCTATGATGATAAACTGAATATGCACACAGTCCCTGGCCAACCAGGGAGGCACGGGTCCTTCCGCTCCACACTGGACATGCAGAGTGGACCCAATGCGCAAACACTGGGGGCTGAGCTGGGCCATGCCTAGTATGTTACAGTTAGTGTACCATCCGATTAGGATCTACAATGGTTTTGAAAACCACTCATCAATAGTTGTTTCAAGTATAGCTATCGTTTCAGGAGATGATGTAGTGGCCCCTTTTCAGGCTGCACCCCTCAGCTGTACCACTTATCCCCTCTCCACTTTCCTAGGGATCTAGTCTGGGTTAGACAAAAGTGACTGCTAATAGTTTAATTGGGGAAATTAATTCAAGCAGATATCTTAACCCAGGTGAAACTGCACCTCTTAAGGAGCTCCTAAGGCATCGACGCTGACATAGATGGTATGCTTAAGCCACCAAGACTGCACACTTCATTATGTCAAACAGGTTTCAATGATCTGTTCAAGGCAATATCGGAAACTGGCCACTGGAATCCAGATGGCAGCTGAATCAGGCATTTGCACTCATAAAGCTTATGGGTACTGTCATCACAGGCTAGTCCAGGTATAAATTACGAGCCTGCGTAAAGATATTTAAGCCAGGAAAACCAGTTTTTACAAACACTTGTAGCAGGGAATAAAAGGGAACGAATTAGAAAGAGGGCAAGAATACTCACGAAGAGCCTACACTTAAATTTCAGGCAGCAATTTAAGAACCTGTTTTTGGATTATAATCATTAGACCTTCCCTGTTTCACTTCTTCAAAGAAGGGAACCAACAACAACATATATACTACAGTGCCTCTCATGTAGAGAAATGAGGGCCAAGTTCATGCAGTTACCTCTAGCACAAAACCACTCCAAAACACAACTGGTAAACATTATAAATTAGTGACAAGTAAAAACGCAGAAATGACCTTCCTTGTAACTTTACATCTAAAAAGTTCATTTTAAAATAGTGTTAGTTCAGGCCCTAGCCAGTTTGGCCCAGTGGAGATAGCGTCAGCCCAGGGACTGAAGCGTCTCGAGTTTGATTGCAGTCAAGGGTTCATATCTCAGTTACAGGCTCAATCCCGGTCTTGGTCATGATGGGGCGTGCGGGAGGCAACCAATTGCTGTCTCTCTCTCACATCGATGTCCCCCCCACCCCTCCGCTTCCACTCTCTCTAAAATTCAATGGAAAAAATATCCTCAGGTGAGCACTAACCAAAAAATAAAAATTAATAAAATAAAATTGTATTAGTTAAGGTTTTCATAAAGAGTAGGTGACACAGTGGAACCGAATGGCCAAGAGTCTTACTGGGAGAAATGCCGCAGGGACGGCAGGCTGTGTGCACGCCTGCCCCAGGGAGCAGGGGCACTCAGATGGCAGCGCAGAGGGAGAAGGTTTTCACCAGATGGACAGAGTCCTCCAGCCACTCCCTGTCAGAAGCTCCTCCTGTCCCAGGAACAGGCTTGCCCTCATACCCTCGCTGTGCTCAGCAAGGGGTGGTGGCATTCCATGGGAAGTGTGGCATCAGCAAGAACACGTGATGGGGTCAGAGCGCTGAGCCAGAGCTGCTCATCAATTAAACGCTTTGTAGTAGGAGATCCCAGAGGCTCCTTTCGTTGCTGTCACATAAATCTAATGCTCATAAACCATTTCAGTGATTATGTGACAGATGGTATAGTATGGGTTTTTCACACATGAACTGAAAACTAAAAACCCACCAAAAGTAAAAGGTTTAAAGATTTCATCGAAGTGCAATAGGTAAAATCTTATAAATAAATATAGGTATCAGCCTATAACCATTTTTTAATTTTTCAGTTATTGTTGACATTCAATGTTATTTTAGTTTCAGGTGTACAGCATGGTAGTTAGACATTTAGACAACTTATAAAGTGACCCCCCCCCCCCAATAAGTATAGCACTACAATACTATTGGCTATATTCTCTATGCTGTACTTTACATCTCTGTGACTAGTCTGTAACTACCAATTTGTATTTCTTCCTTTTTTTTAAGAAAGTGCAAGGGAGGAGGGGGGAGAGAGAAACATCGATATGAGACACACTGATTGGCTGCCTCCCACACGCACCTGGATAGGGGTCAGGGATCAAGCCTGCAAACCCAGGTACCTGCCCTTGATCTAGAATCTACCCCGAGATCCTCCCATGCACCGGCTGCCACTCTAACCACTGAGCAATGCCAACAATCCCTTCACTTGCCCTCCCACCTGCCAAACTTCCTCCCATCTGGCAATCATCAGTTTGGCCTATGCCAAACAAGTTGTTCTCCTTGATATTAAACTAAAACATTAAAAACAATTGCTTCTATTCCTAAAAACAGTCCCTAAAGCTTAAGTACTATAAAAAAGTCATTAGCAAAAAAATCAAAATGACCCACTAGCTTTACTTTTTCTCTTGACAATTAAACAAGTCAAAACTGGCCCTGATCAGGTAGCTCAGGTAGTTGAAGCATCATCCTGATCCCCAGTCAGGACACATGCAGGAGGCACACAATGAATGCATGAATGGGTGCAGCAACAAAATCACTGTCTCTCTTTCTCTCTCCCCCTCCCCCGCCCATCTCTCTCCATCTAAAATTAGTAAATAAAAATTTTTATAAAGTCAAACTTATTTAAAAACCCACAAAACTTAAAAATGATAAAGAGGAAATAATAGTTCAGATCATGCCAAAGACCACATTAGAAGAAAAACCATGTGCTAGCTATTTTATTTCCTTATTATATGAAATTTCAATTTTCTTCCCTCAGATTGTGTTGAATCTATTTGTAATGATACCAAACGCTGATTTAAAATTCATGATAATTTTCATTAATATTATTTATTTTCATTTTCAAACAGCACAGAGAACCGGAAATATCACATTTTACTTCCAGGACAATGGGGCGGGGGAGGCAGATTGAGGGATGAGGCCAATAATTCTTTAGCCACTCAAAACATCAACAATTCACTAAACTGACACTTTACATCACTAAAGACATTTTCAAAGTCTCCCCAAATGGCAGCGGTCTGCTGTGAGGGAGGCCAGGCAGCTGTGAGCATGCTGTGCAGCACTACAGTGACATATCCGCTTCTCCCGCAGATACCGAGCTGCTCAGCCAAGGGAGCCACGTTCCAAGTAATGCCAGCGATGGCCTCGGAAGGAATACCACCCTTAACAACGAGTTCGACACCATCATCATGCCTGTGCTTTACCTCGTTGTATTCGTGGCAAGCCTCTTGCTGAATGGTCTAGCAGTGTGGATCTTCTTCCACATTAGGAATAAAACCAGCTTCATATTTTATCTCAAAAACATAGTAGTTGCTGACCTCATAATGACGCTGACATTTCCATTTCGAATAGTCCATGATATAGGATTGGGACCGTGGTACTTCAAGGCCATCCTCTGCAGATACACCTCAGTTTTATATTATGCAAACATGTATACTTCCATTGTGTTTCTTGGGCTGATCAGCATTGATCGCTATCTGAAGGTGGTAAAGCCATTTGGGGACTCTCGCATGTACAGCATAACCTTTACGAAGGTTTTATCCATTTGTGTTTGGGTGATCATGGCTATTTTGGCCTTGCCAAACATCATTCTAACAGATGTTCAACCAACTAAAGAAAATATTCATGAATGCATGAAACTTAAGAGTCCCTTGGGAGTCCGATGGCATAATGTAGTCATTTACCTCAAAAGCTGCTTATTTGTGGCTGTGCTGGTGATCCTGATTGGGTGTTACATAGCCATATCCCGGTACATCCACAAGTCCAGCAGGCAGTTCATCAGCCAGTCAAGCCGGAAGCGGAAACATAACCAAAGCATTAGGGTGGTGGTGGCTGTGTTTTTCACCTGTTTTCTACCATATCACTTGTGCAGAATTCCTTTTACTTTTAGTGACTTAGACAGACATTTAGATGAATATGCACACAAAATCCTGTATTACTGCAGAGAACTGACACTTTTCTTGTCTGCGTGCAATGTGTGCCTGGACCCAATAATTTACTTTTTCATGTGTAGGTCATTTTCAAGAAGGTTATTCAAGAAATCAAATATCAGAACCAGGAGCGAAAGCATCAGGTCACTGCAAAGTGTCAGAAGATCAGAAGTCCGCATATATTATGACTATACTGATGTGTAGGAGTTAAAGGCTAGGAGACCTCCCCTTGTATGTTGAAGTCGATATGTACAAATTGCAAATAAATGTTTCTTTTGATTAACCTTGCTTCAGACCATCAAAATATGGATAAACAGAAAAATAAAATGGTATGAAATCTGGGTATAATTTGAAACTACAAAAAACATTAAGGCAGACCAAAAGGTGAGGTAATCAAGAGGTAGTGCAAGGCTGAGAGGCAGGGTTCATGACAGAGCTGAAGGGGCAGAGGAAGAGAGCTGCAGCAATGTGAGGGCACGGCGGACATCTCCTGGGACACCCTGCTGCTCTGCAGTCACTTTGGGGCGAACAGAAAGTACGAAAGATAACTCCACCTAGCCCTGAAGTTTGATTTGGGAAAGAAAATGCTGTTTTCAATACAATTCATTTATATAACAGTAAATATTGATTCCTTCTATGAATAAGTAGGACCTTTGGCCATCACCCGTTTGCTGTGTTTATCAATGTCATATGCATGTTTTTAAAACTTGTGTAGTGTAGGGGGTAGTTGGGAGGAGGTTTGATGATATTTTTTAAGTAATGTATTTGAAAGATTGAATTCAATTAACTGATTTTAAAATTAGGCTATTCTATAGAAAGAAAAGTGTGGCTGAATGTAAGGGTGAAACACTGAACTTTGTTATTATTACGTACCTATTCTGCATTTAAATACTTGTGCTGAGGGTAGAGAAGAGAATATGGAAGCTTGGCTGATAATAGAGTATATGTAGTTTATCAAAAGCCAATTTTTAAAAAATTATTAGTGAAATACTCTTCTTTTTAAGCTTTAATAATGATATCAATCATTTAAAAAGATAACCTTAGGTTGAAAAATAGAGTTCAATAAATCAAGCGCAAAAAGTATAAACAACCCTCTAAATCTTACATTATTTTCCCCTTAAGAAAAATCCTTGAGCCTTCACTCCAAAGCCTCCAGCTGCTCGAGTATTGCTCAAGTGCCTGATTTGTTGCTAAAGCTGAGGAGGAGCTGGGGAAGCATGAAGGGAGGCGGGGTAGTGACAGCACATTTGCTGACAAAAGAGGACATTATAGTGAACAGAGATAAAACACACACCCGTATATGAAAGAACAATACTTTATTTAAACTCTTTTAAACGATCTGCAAAATTATAAAAAAAACAAAACAAAAACTAAGGTGCGCAAAAGAGGGAACAAGAATAACTTGGCTGAACAATGATAACCCTCAGAAGGTACAAGAACAGAATTCGGGGACTGCTAATTGTCCAGAAGATGAGTCAGGTTTGGCAAAGGGATTGGTAGTGAAGGAGTTAAAAGAATTATCTGAGAATCTCTATTCAAGTATCCATCTTTCCATCAAGATTCTAATTCCATGAATTCCAGGGGCACTTCACTATGCGAATATATTCACCTCACTTGGTTATTTGAATAGCCACTTCCTTCCCCCAATTGTGTGCCACTAGCTAGGTTAAGACTGCCTTGCTTTACACCAGCTAATGTGAAAAAAACTTTGAAAGGCTAATTATTTTCTCCGCCTTCCCCATATTACCGAGGATGAATGACAGGTAACCTATATAAAGTGAAGGGAGCAGAATTGAGGCTGGAAAAATACCCTCAGCATAACATCCTATCCCTCCATTCCCTGTTTCTTTCCACTACATCACAGGTCCCAGTCAAATACCTCAAAAATGATATTATCCTCTTCACTATGTGAGTATGTATATGTGTATATATGACATATAAATGCATGATCACTTAGAACCCCATAATTAAGAATCTACCTTCTTTAAAAGCATCAAATGGCTCCATTTAGCACTCTGGAATTTACCAAACACATCTCTACCCCAGACCTCAACTCTGAGGTCTTTAAAATATTTCAATTGTATTTTAATGATTCTATAATTGGAACACTGTATAGTGGGCACATTTAATGTTATACTGATTTTATTCTCTGAAACCAGAGGCCCGGTGCACGAAATTCTTCCCCAGGAAAGGGGGTGGGGGGTGTCCCTCAGCCTGGCCTGTGTCCTTTGGCAATCTAGGACCCTTCAGGGGATGTCAGGCCTTAACCAGTAGTCGGACATCCCTCTCACAATCCAGGACGCTGCATGCACCAGTGACCATACTTTTTTTTCATACAGGTGAAAGGCATCTTGCTGTTGTATGGGGACCTACATTTTTTTGCCCTGATTATAAAAAGTAGTACATAACATCCTTCTGAGGCAGTAGTACCATTTTCCCCATCTTATAGGTGGAAAAACTGAAGCAGAGAGAAGTTCATTGGCTTTGTCACACAGTTATAGTGTCAGAATCTGCAAACCAGAGTTCAAGCATGTCATCGCTGCATCATCCTGTTTTTTCAGTGTTAGAGTAGCTTTGCCAGGTTTTAATTCTTAAATCTAAGAGACTGTTCCCAATATGTAGGGTAGGGTCCCTAGGCCTGGCTGGCAATCAGGCCCATCTGTGGGGCGACCAGCAGGCCCCACTGGCACCTGCCTCGGCTGGTGGCCTGGCGCCGCTCCGCCCACCCCCAACTCCCCCATCGCTCTGTGGCCGGCCCTGTCCTCCTCCCCCACATCACTGCCACCAGTCGCCTCCCTCTTCAGGGGGAGGGGGAGAAGGCAGACACTCAATGCAGGAACTGCCCCTCATTATTGTATTAATGGGACATCTTATAATACTATCTCCATTAAAAATAAATTGTGTTACAAAAACCATCAAATTCATACTGCTTATGTTTCACATCAAGGCCCATACTCTGGTCACAAAAGTTATTTATCCTGGTCAACCAAGAAAAATTATTTACATGAGTAAAACATTATCAATAGAAATATTAAATATTTGCTCATGTTAGAAGCTAGTACCAAATACATTAGTACTGAAAAATTTTAAATCAATTGCTAATTTGGAAATAACCAGAAATCTAACATTTCTTACATGGAGCTTTTGAATAATATTCAGTATTGCAGGATCCTCTCAGAAAGTAGTAAATAGCATAGTTGTTCTTCCTATATGCCCTTGAGAAACATATTCAGTCAACTTCAAAAAAGAAAATGTTTCTATTCTTTCTAAAACTCACATAAAATGAAACTGATATGTAGAAAATATTTTGGTGTATGTCTTACTCTCTGTATTCATTATCCTATTCACACCATTCTATTCTCATTTCCAAACAGTACACCAGTAGTTTTCCTCAACCACAGCTTTAAGGGAATGCTAACTAGGAAAATTCATAAACTTAGATTAAACAGCTAAAGCAAAATTGTGTGTGTGCAGGTACACACATGTGTGCACAAGAGTCTACAGCCTAAACATAAAGAAATTTTATGATAGCCACGGGGAAATGTGATATACCAGGAAAAACTAAAGAAATGTGATATGTTAGGAAAAGAAAATTAAGAAAACAAAGACAAAATAAACTTTGGGGTCCCTTAAATTTTATAAATATTTTTCCCAGAATAAATACAAGAAGATAGTTAATAAATACTTATTATGCGTTTACCATGTAAAAAAAAATACACTGTGCTCAACATGATACTTAAATAATCTTTGATATCCCTAAGTGAATTCTAAAAGTAAATATTTCTTAAGGTCAAACATTTTCACATTTCAACGGAATGCAAGCATCTCATAGATGCAGACTTATTTAACACTGGAGGCCTGGTGCACAAAAATTTGTGCACTCGGGGGCGGGGGGGTCCCTTAGCCCGGCCTGTGCCCTCTCGCAGTCTGAGACCCCTTGGGGGATGTCCACCTGCTGGCTTAGGCCCGCTCCCTGGGGGATCAGGCCTTAGCTGGCAGTCAGACATAGCTCTGGCAGCCCAGGAGCCCTTGGGGAATGTCCACTTTCCAGCAGGGACTAGGCCAGCCGTGGGCAAACTACGGCCCACGGGCCAGACCCGGCCCGTTTCAAATGAATAAAACTGAAAAAAAAAAAAAAAAGACCGTACCCTTTTATGTAATGATGTTTACTTTGAATTTATATTAGTTCACACAAACACTCCATCCATGCTTTTGTTCCGGCCCTCCAGTCCAGTTTAAGAACCCATTGTGCCCTTGAGTCAAAAAGTTTGCCCACCCCTGGACTAGGCCTAAGCTGCAGTCGGACATCCTTAGCACTGCTGACGAGGCGGGAGAGGCTCCCACCAATTCTGTGGTGGCAGCTGTCAGCCTGGCTTGTGGCTGAGCAGAGCTTCCCCTGTGGGAGTCCAATGAACACCAGGGGGCAACTCCTGCATTGGGTGTCTGCCCCCTGGTGGTCAGTGTGTGTCATAGTGACCAGTCATTCCCAGTTGTTCTGCTGTTAGGATCAATTTGCATATTACCCTTTTATTATATTCCTGGTGCATGGGAGGGGGCTGGCTGGTTTGCCCTGAAGGGTGTCTAGGATCAGGATGGGGGTCCCGCTGGATTGTCTGGCCAGCCTGGGTGAGGGGCTGGTCACTGTTTGCAGGCCGGCCACAGCCCCTTCAGGGGGGTCCCCTAGGGGGCCTGTGCAACCTGGGTGAGGGGCTGATGGCTATTTGCAGGCTAGCCACAGCCCCCAGCCACCCAAGCTCCCAGTGGGGGCTGGCTGGAAGCAGGTATCTGGGATTTATTTATCTTCTATAATTGAAACTTTGTTGCCTTTAGTGGAGGCCACAGCTGGCCAGGGCAGGCAGAAAGCTTGGCTTCCTCCATCACTGGGGCAACCAAGCCTCCTGCTTGCACCATCTCCGTGGCTGCTGGCCACCATCTTGGTTGGTTTATTTGCATATAGTCGCTCTGATTGGCTGATGGGTGTGGTTTGGGGGGCATAGTGAAGGTATGGTAAATTTGCATGTTTCTCTTTTATTAGATTAGATACTCCCCTAGCCCTCTACCACCATCTAGTGGTAAAATTCATGAAAGAGCAGAAGAAAAAGACTCCAAGCCCTTCCTCTTATCTTTCTTCAGCCATCTTTAGTGCTAATGTGTACGCACACACACGCGCAAACAGTCCTGGAGCTGCTTAGAAAAACATAAGATGCAAATGTTTGAAAAGAATAATTAAGACCTACAGGAAGTTATCTTACAAATATAAAGAAAAACACAACAAAAGCTAAA